TAATAAAGTTCAGTACTAACGTTAGCTTTTGATAACGAGTTTTCTAGAGCAAAACAAAAGGAACTATAAGGAATCACTGACATCACCAGTCGATTCTCAGCAGAATTTAAAGATAACAGAGACCATGGTGGCTTCTGTTTGTAAAGATTCAACAAGCAGCTCGTTCAGGCGCTCGAACCAAGCAGCTGTATGTAAACATCTGACTGAAACTGTTCACAGCATGTTTAAATGTGTGAAAAACAACATTCTAACAAATTGTTTAGTTTTGTTACCAATATTAGTATTTTTAAACTTTAAGAAATGTATTAAATTCACAGTGATGAAATGTTGTAGTTGTACCATTTGTTTTAATAAGGTGTAAGTAATAAGTTATACTGAACATAACAGAAGCTAAAATAAATGTTATAAATATACAGTTTTCGTACACTCTAAAGGAGTGGGGAGAAGTATATTTATATTAGCCCACCTCTTCTCCTGCAACCTTATTGCATCACTTTGTAGTGCTCTCAATACTACAGTATTAATTCACTTTCTGGTATATGTAATGTTGTATATGTAATGTTGTTCAGTTCATCATCTTTAATGTTGGGATCCAGATAATAGTTACGGTCTCTTTAAGAGTTTCGGTGATGTTACTGAGGTGGGTTTTTGTCTGCTCATGCACAGGGCCATCTTAGTTAGTTGTTGTTCTGTTAATAAACGTGACTCATGGAGTCTTAATGTGAGAAGTTTTTGGCTCTTTTTTTCTGCCAAAAGGCAACTTCCACAACTTGTTATTTATCAAGAAAATTGTTAATTTCTTAAAATGGAGGAATTCATATTCCTCCAACAACACTGTCACCTGCAATTCCTTTTTACTTTAAAACCTTTAAAACTTGACAGATTTCCTTCAAGATTAAACTGTTTAATTTTTAAAAAATGTCCTTATAACCTGTTGTTTATGGTGAAGAGAAAAAAATTGTGATGTTGTATTTTGCAACACAGTTGAACCATTTTCATTATTTAAGAACAGATTGAATTGAACTGAATCAATGAMACCTAGCCCTACTAATATCTGTCAAATTCACCAAGTTATGCCTGTTTTAACAAAACAAAACTTACTCAGCTGTGGATGTCAAACTGAATGAAAACTTTTTGTTTTGTTGAAATCTGTTTAATGAGATCATGAGATGTTTTAATAACACAAACACACAAACATGACTGCCTTCAGCGGTGGGTGACAACTTCCTCTATTAATCTGCTCCCATTCCTCTGTATCAGGAAATAGACACATSCATAAAGTGAACCTGAGCGTGATGKGCTGCAGGAAGGACACGGTCCCTCCGCTGCGAGCAGTTGGCATAGCGAGGGCCTCCACTCAGACGTGCTTCCCTCCCTTCAGGGACACGTCTCCATAAGTGGCACTAATAGGCAGTACGTTTGACATCGTCATACAAAACATGGAGCTGGAGATGGATGCGGCTAATGAGGGTCCCCCCGTCCTCATCCAACCTGACATGTCAATCGCTGCAGTTATTATTTATTACCTCCACCTACTCTCTTCTTCTCTCCTGTTCATCTGAACATAAACAAAACAAAAAGTGTGCAGGTCCAGCAGCGTGTCGTTCACTCCATCCATCACAGACACCTACACTTTGTTTTTAATCAGTGACAAACGCAGGCGAAGCTTTCTGTTCCACAGAACAGATTGCAACTATTTCTGCAGCTCCTGAGACAACAGAACAGAACGATGGTGCTGCAGCGTCTGAGAGCAGACAGGAAGTGCCAGCTGCTTTTAATAAGTTAAATCATCAGGCAGAACTTTCACCTGAAAATAGAAGTGGACCAAACTTGACTGTACCTTTCCKGTATCTGTTATCACCTGCTGCTGCAAAAAAAATAAAGTTTTTAACAGTTTCTGTGCTTTAGTTAGCAAAATATCTCATTAATGTCAGTAAAACTCTCAGAAATCAATCAATAAATTACATGTTTACATTTTGGAGTCATTCAAGATGGCTGCCATAGCTTAGTGACTTTATCAAACACAATATGTTTGTTTCCCACCACCAAGCATTTTATGACCAACACTGTAGAAAATA